CAAGGATTAATACTCACTGAGGGAAAAACTGTTTATACTCAGTGAACAGAAAAAAGACTAGTTCCTTCTGGGTTATTTTGGGCACCATCCCACTCTTCCAGACGTCAAGGATAATGAAATAGACAAGTTTCCTGCTCTCAAGTTTACATTCTAGTTGGGGTGGTGTGGGGCGGGGGGCGTTGCAGAAGATTAACAGATAAGATGTCAGATGGAACATTATGCAGAGATCAAAACAGACTGATGAGAATGACGTCGGGCTTGTTCTAGACTGGATGTCAGGGACAGTCCCTCTGGACAGGTGACATTTAAGTTGAAATCTGAATGGTAAGAAGCAGCCAACCATGAGAAAATATAAGCAATGGCAACTACTAATGAGAAAGTCCTAAAGTGTGGGGCTGAAACATACTGGATCCAGCAGAGCATGTTGGAAATGAGGAGGGAGGCATAGGTGGGAATCAGAATATGAAGGGTTCTATAGGTTAGAGAAAGGAGTTTTGATTTTATTCTTAGGTAGAAGAAAGCCTGAGGGGATTTTAAACAGCAGAATGACATAATCCAGTCCACATTTTGAAAAGATCTGGCTGCTTATGTGACAAATGGATTAAAGGAGGGGCAAGAGGACTTCGCTGGTGGTACAGTGGTTAAGAGTCCGCATGCCAATGCAGGGGACATGGGTTCAAGCCCTGGTCCGGGAAGATCCCACATGCCGCAGAGATCCCACATGCCGCAGAGCAACTAAGCCCGTGCGCCACAACTACTGAGCCTGCGCTCTAGAGCCCGTGAGCCACAACTACTGAGCCCACGCACCGAGAGCAAGTGCTCTGCAACAAGAGGAGCCACCGCAATGAGAGGCCCGTGTGCAACAACGAAAACCCGACACAGCCAAAAATAAATAAAAATTTTAAAAAATAATAATTTTAAAAAGTAGGCTCAAGAGTGAGAGCAAGGAAATTAGTTTGAAGGTCAAGTTGCAGTGATATGGAGTTGACTACAGTGGTAGCAGTAAAAATGGAGAGAAGTCAATGGATTGAGGATGTGTTCAGAGATACACGGTTGTTTTTGTTTGGGGCTTTTTTTCTTTCCTTTTTTGCTTTTTGGTTTTGTTTTTTATGCATGGAAGACTACAGTCAGTGCTCACTCTTACAACTCTCAAAGTTTAACTGCTCCACCAACAACCATCACCACATAGACACAAAGAAAAGATACCATAAAATGGTGAAAGATTAGGGAAGAGTCGTGAAATAAAATTATACTTAAAAAAGAAGTGTTGGGCTTCCCTGGTGGCGCAGTGGTTGAGAGTCCGCCTGCCGATGCAAGGGACACGGGTTCGTGCCCCGGTCCGGGAGGATCCCACATGCCGCGTACCGGGAAAAAAAAAAAAGTGTTAAAATTATTATGTAGGGCAGAGCACTGTGCTGTGATGGCTCTACTTCTAAACAGACTAAAACTATAAATGCCAAGGAAAATAAATTTTTTTTTTTTTTTTTTTTTTTTTTGCGGTACGCGGCCCCCTCACCGTTGAGGCCTCTCCCGTTGCGGAGCACAGGCTCCGGACGCGCAGGCTCGGCGGCCATGGCTCACGGGCCCAGCCGCTCCGCGGCATGTGGGATCCTCCCGAAACGGGGCACGAACCCGTGTCCCCTGCATCGGCAGGCGGACTCTCAACCACTGCGCCACCAGGGAAGCCCAGAAATTTTTAAAAATCCAACTCCAAAAAAACACTGGCTATCCATACAAAGGAAAACAAAACATTTTCACTCTTTTCTACCCTCTGATGACAACACATTACCATACAAAGTTTGTCATTTTTGAAGCCCTGCGTAGGATGGCCATTTATCATTCCCTTTAGAAAATCTACTAACACATGATTTAACTAAAATTGGATTAAAACAAACAAACAAACATAAAACCAAGAAGTGTGTCCTCGTACCTCTTGAAAATTAATCTAATCCTGATAACAATATATTCATGAGGAGATGTAATACTTATATTTTCTTTACAACCCCAAAGAATCACCTATAGTGGTATTGCACCTGCGTAATCTAGTCTTGATTCCACAGTAACAGATGCGTGAACAAGTATTGTTCTGCCTGTTTTTCCTTGCTTGCTCGCTTTGTGTGTGTGTGGGTGCTGACAACATCTAAAACCTGTCCTTCTGCTAAGTTTTACGTCCTTTCACGAATTGTTACCTCTTCAAAATACGACGGCAACCAAAAATGTCTTCTGTTCCTTGTTTCTTTCTTCGTCTTAAGAGCAGGAGCGTCAAACTAGGGAAAATATTCCCAGACTTGGAAATCCACCCCCACCCCGCATATTTCAATCAACCACCTCAAATCTTTTCTGAAAAGGTGTAAAATATCAAGAAAGATACACTTGAGCGCCCTGTACTACTCACCCCTCTACGTTTTGTCCGCGGGCATGTTCCGCTTCTCTCAGACATCGTCCTTCCTGCCTCCAGTTGGCCTCCGCGGGGGCTGCTCCGGGCGAATTCACCACACTTTGTCCTCAGTGGCTTTGGATTCAGCTGGCTCTGTCCAGCGCTGGACACACCAGGCAGCTACCCGAAGCCGGGACCCCGGGTCCTAACGCGCACGGGGGAGAGAGCAGCTATCCAGATTTCTAACGTGGCTTGGCATTCTCTCTAAATGTTTAATCTCGAGATCTTTTAATTTTTGATATCATCCCTGAGAACAGCTGTTTCCAGTCGGGGAAGCGTGCGAAGGAAATCAACACCGGTGACCCCCTCCAGACGGAAAGTTCTGCCACCCCCTGGGTCACGAGGTCTCCGAGATGTGGGGCTGGAGTGGAAGCTGTGAAAAACTTGAATTCAGAAAGTAGCCCGAGGACCTTGTTCCAGAACATTCCTGGCCTTTGGAGACATCTAGTGAGAGACATGGGGGACAAGGTGCGACTGGAGCCATCCAGAGGCCTTCTCCTCCATTACGCCTGGGGTGCTCTTAGTGAGGCCGAGGCCATTCGCAGCCTCCTCAAAGGGAAGCCGCAGATTCCCTTCTACCACCTTGGAGCTTGCCCTGTTGGGAGTCCTGAGCCTCTTTTCCGTGTGTTTTCATCGGGTGCAGAGGACGAGGCTGGCTTCCAGAAGAATTCCTTCCGAGCGGGCCCTTCCCCCTTCCTCTTGCAGCCCTACCGCCTTCCCGCAGCCTCCAAGTCCCTCGAGACTTAGCCTCCCGCCCAAAGCGCTCGTCCTGTGATTGGTTCTTTGAGGAGCCTCGGCCAATGGGGATAACGTATTCGGGCAGACGTAGCCCCGCGAGCTGGGGGAGGAGCAAGGACGTCGGGGCCGCGACGTGCGGTGAGCGGAAAGTGGCGCGAGGCGTGTGGCACCGGCCGCGTGGCCTCAGGCCGTCGCTGTCACCACTTCCCAGTGCATAAGGATCCCCGAGCCTGCGGCAGGACGAGGGCACCAGCGAGTGGCTGCAAAGCCCGTGCGGCCGGAGGTGACGGTGTTGGGTGAGCCTTGAATTAGGGCCTCCGGGATCCCCACGCTCCATTCCCAGAAACCTTTGCGCCGAGAGCTCTCTCTTCAAAGGAGTTGGGCCGAGGCGCCCAGCTTTGCAGGGCCTTCCCTGAAGCCCTGCTTTCCCCCGCCAACCCCGATTCCCTTGGTTCTGGATGGGGAGAACCCTCAGGACGTTGTGCAGCTTTGCTAAACCCCACCCCCACCCCCAGCCCCCTCCCGCGCGAGCCTGGACCTTGGGAGGAAGCAAGGCAGGCCGGACCGAGGACCCAAGCACGGAGAGGACAGCAGGAGCACCTCCTGCCGCAGAGCTCTTCCAGGTTGGGTCTGGGGACAAGGCCCAGTGCTGGTGGATTGGGAAGCTTCCCCAGGGCCTACCTCTGGGCCTTTGCAACAGCTGCCATTCTCCATCCCCATCTATCTGGCTGGGATGGAACTGAGCCTACAGTTTCTTAATTTACCTTTCCACTCTTTTCTTTCCTGATAGTTTGACGTGAACTGTTTGGAGCTTCTGTGCCACCTGACAGAAAACTGCGTGCCAGGGAAGGAGCACCAGCTGTGCAGTGAGTGTGGGGATCTCAGTGCAAAAAGCTGGAGACGTAGTGAGCCTGAAGTCAGAATACCCAGCTTGTGTTGGGAAGGGTAGAACGCTTAATTATCCTTGCTTTATTGTTAGCCAGAGAACTGACCAGATTGACAAACCTAAAGGCCAGATTCTTTGCCAATTTCCAGGTGGAATCAGGCTCACTTCGGTCAAGAACATCTGAACCCACGGTGGCAATATTCTTACTGCTGTGAGAGACCTTCCCACCAAGTCCAGCAGCTTCTTTTCTTTACTGTGCACCCTCTGCTGGTTAGTGTGATAGAGTGAGCTCAGAGAAAAGAAGGTGTGTACGACTTCCTAGAGGTCATTTAATACTCCATAGTGTTTTGTTAAAATGTGTTAAATTGGGGAAGTATATACCCATGAAACTCAGAAATGTGGTGCTCAGGAAGAATATGAGTAGTGAGCACCATAGGAGTTGAGTTTCTGGCAATGTGAATGAGGAAGGTTTAAGCATAATAACAACTCCATTTTTGGAGTGCTAGTTTCATGCCAGACACTCACAGTACTAAGCAATTTGGTAAAATTGACTCATTAAATCTCTAAAACAGCCTTACGAGGTAAGTACAGTACTGTTATAATTCCCATTTCCTAGATGAGAAAAGTAAGACTCAGAAAAGTTAGGTCATTTGCCTGAAATTATACAGCTAAGCTAATAAATAACAGGGCTGAGATTCAAATCTAGGCTGTTTCTGAGCTCCCACCTGTAACCACTAGGATATTCTTTCTTAAGATACCCTTGGCACAATTCCTGGGCTTATGGTTCCTCAACTCATGCTTTTGTCTCCCACTTTCAAAATTTCCCTGTCATTTCAAAGACAAAAAAAAAAAAAATTAGGTATAATTGTGCTTCTGAAAGGTATTATTTCACCCACAGGAATCTGATGCATGAAAACCTAGGTTTGTTAAGAGACCAACATGTGCTCTCCTGCCAGTCCCAAAATCCTGTACAGGAATCCCCGGTTCCTCCGGCTAGCTTTTCTGCAGCTTCATCACCAGCAACAGAGTGGTGTGTTCTGTGATGTCCTTCTGCAGGCAGAAGGTAAGAGACTAGTAGGGACTCAATTGAAAACTCACCATAGACTAAGATAAAATGACTTCAGGGCCAAGCAGTGAAGGACAAAACCAGGAAAGCGTGTAATTATTGCCTTTGAGTGCTGTAAGCTATTTGGTAAAGAGCTGTTTCTAGGACAGGTACATTTTTCAATGAGTGAAAGTGAGATTATGCTCCTTCTCTCAAAAAATGAAACTAAAGTTTTGTAAGCATAGAAATTCGGTAAAACATGGATACACCGTAGTGGGATGGTTGTGAACGTTGAGTTAACATACATAAAGCACTTAGAACAGTACTTTTAATGTACTAAGCACAATGTAAGTATTAGATACTTACTTAAATGATACTATTACATATTTTCCTTTTTTCTTGTCTTCAAATTGATGGCTTTTATTGTTTTGTTGTTAAACCTAAAACCATATAGCTTATTTCCACCCCTTCCCTTTACACTTGAAATGTTAAATCAGCTTGGGGTAGAGCCTGGTATAGTGTAAAAGGCCTAAGACTAGGAGTCCGAGTCTAAGTTATTAACAGTAACAAATGAACAAGTAACTTCACCTCTTTCCAGTTCACTTTCTTCATTTATCAAAAAGGATTATGACAGCCAACATTGTGTAACACTCTACAGTTTGCAGAGTACGTATAGCACAGTTTAGTGTCTCATTTGATTCTTATAACAGCCTTGTGAGATGTGGAATGTTACATGGTTCCAGCAGTACAGATGAGTGAATTGAGGCCTAGAGAGTTAAGTGACTTGTCTATTGGTTCTCTTAGGAAGTGCAGAGTTGGGATGCATTCCTTAATTCAAAATAAACATAAAAAGTATCAACTGCCTGGTGTATGCTAATGTACTTTACTAGCATGGCATATAGTATATATGAAGATAAGTCCATCCTCGTAAGGAAACCATGTAAAGGGGAGACATTCAAATAACCAGTGCATCCAGATAACTGGGCAGTATAATAAATAACATTGGGGTAAGTATAAGCTGATACAGGAGCACAAAAGAGGAGCATCCTTCACAGACTTGAGTAGGTTGGGGGATGGGTATTAGGGACAATTTCTTGGAGGAAATAACCCCATAGGGGACTTCCCCGGTGGCACAGTGGTTAAGAATCTGCCTGCCAATGTAGGGGAAACGGGTTCAAGCCCTGGTCCGGGAAGATCCCACATGCCACGGAGCAACTAAGCCCGTGCGCCACAACTACTGAGCCTGTGCTCTAGAGCCCGCAAGCCACAACTGCTGAGCCTGTGTGCCACAACTACTGAAGCCCATACACCTAGAGCCCATGCTTCCCAAGGGAAGCCACCGTAATGAGAAGCCCGCGCACCGCAACGAAGACCCAATGCAGCCAAAAAATAAATTAAGAAAAAAAAATCAACTGTTAAATAAATAAATAACCCCATAGGTGAGTTGTGAAGGACACATAGAAGTAGGAGGAAATGGGTAAGATTTTCCCAGGCAGAGAAAACAGCATGTACAGAGATGTACACATGTGACCAGGGATTTGCGAGTGGTTCATTATGGCTAGAGCACAGACTATGAGTGTATTGATCAGAGGTGTGGCTAGAGAGATCAGCAGGTCTGAAGTGTTACACCAAGGAAGTTGGTCTTATCCTCAGCACACTGAGAAATGTATTTAAAGGTTTCAAGAAGGTCCTAACTGCTTTAGAAACAGCAGTGGGGCTGCAATGAGAAGAATTATTAGATTGTTATTGAGCCCAGATAGGAGGCTATTTTGGAATCCAGGAGAGAGGGAATGGTGGCCTGAACTAAGGCACTGAGAATAGAAAGAAATATATAGTTTATGAGCTATTCAAGAGAATTTACAAAACTTGCTGCAGTTAAGAGCACAGACTGTAGCCCTGGGTTCAAATCTTGTCCCTGCTCCTTAACTGTAATTGTGGGCATGTTACTTCACTATGCCACAGTTTACTCATCTGTAATGACAGCTAGCCCACAAGGTTGCAGTGAAGATTAAATGAATTAATGCTGCTAAAATCCTTAGACGCCTGGCACATAATAAGGACTCAATAAGTATTCGCTTTTTTAAAAAACTTAATGTTTGACTAGATGCAGTGGGTAAGAGAAAGGAATCAAATATGACTTCTGGTTCTCAGGCCTGGGCAACTGGATGAATGTGCTTATTTTGAAGTAAAAATTGGGAAGTTTTGGAGTGTGGGGGATGATGAGTTCACTTTCTAGAAAGGTTGCATTGGAGGTACTTGTGGGACCTCCATGTAGTCATGCAGGCTACGGCATGCTTAATATCTCAGAAAAGATACCTGGGCAGGTGTAGAATCTGGGAGTCATCAGCAAGCCTTTGGTAACTGAAGCCATTGCAGAGATGGAAATTGCCCATGAAGTGCCCATAAAATGAGAAGGTTGTTCAGGACAGTGGATACCAGGCAGTGAAGAGAGCTCAGGAGAGAACTGAGCCCTGATCATCCATATCCAGAGCTCATCTCTTAGACCACAAGCAGCTTCTATAGAAAGTTTTAAATTCTTGTGTGAGTCAAAAACATTTACTCAGCAAGTATTTGATCCCCTGCTTTGTGTCAAGCACTGGCTATATACTTCAGTGAGCAAGACAGACAGTCTCTGTCCTCACAGAGCTTACAGTTCAGTGAAGGAGATGGACACTTACAGCGCAGATAGCTGAATGCTATGATAGCTACAGAGCACCTAACCCAGACGGGGTAGGGTCGGGGAAGGCTTTCTGAAAGCCTAAAATAGGTAAAAACTGAGTTAACTAGGTAATGGCAGAATGTTCCAGGCAGGCAGAAGAACTAAATTTATCCTTCAACTAATGTGGAGGGAAACTGAGAGAAGAGGCTGCACATTTAGGTAGTAATGTCTGTGCTTAACCCGGGAACATGCCAGTCGGCATGAGACAGATAAAGTGTTTGGGTTTCCCTCCAGGTGAGGCAGTCCCAGCCCATTGCTGCATCCTTTCGGCCTGCAGCCCCTTCTTCACAGAGCGCCTGGAGCAGGAGAGGCCAGCTCAGGGTCGGAAGGTAGTGCTCGAGCTGGGGGGCCTGAAGATTAGGACACTTAGGAAGCTGGTGGACTTCCTGTATACCTCAGAGATGGAAGTATCTCGAGAAGAAGCCCAGGATGTGCTTTCTGCTGCCCGTCAGCTCCGTGTATCTGAGCTAGAATCCCTTCATCTAGAGGGTGGGAAGTTGGTGAAGGCCCCTCAGGGTCGAAGACTGAACAGGGAGTGCCTACAACCTCCAAGTGCTGCTCCCATCTCTGCCAGGGTGGTGGCATCCATCTGCCGCCCGCGAACTCCACTGCCTGTTACCCAGACTCCCTGTCCTCTTGGGGCAGTGAGATTGAAGTCCTCGGGGAAGGAGGAGGGGCCCCAGGAGAACAACCGACAGAACACAGAGAACCTGTCGGGCACGCTTCTGCTCAAGAGGAAGGCCAGAGCCTGCCCAACTCCACAAGAAAAAAGCTCTTCACCGTCAAGCCACAGTCAGGGACCTAAAGAGAACAAAAGTTACCCTGCCCTTGGTCCTACAGCACTTTCCCCACCCAGCTTGTACCCCTCTGTGGACGAGCGACTGTTGCCCAGGAAGATCAGGCTGAGCCGCTCAAAGCTGTCTCCTGACGTCTGTACGTCCAAGCCTGCCGGCCTTTTAAGTGGACCCAGCTCAGTACCCCCAGCCCCTGGCCGGCGTCTTTGGCGGCAGAAGAGTATAAAGAAAGAAGCACCAGAGGACAAGCAGAAAGCAGGGCAAACTAGTCCTCTACAGAGCACCCCAAGACAATCTGGTCTTGGAAAGTCGGGTGGGAACAGGAAGCAGAGCCCTGAAGCCAGGGCACCTCACTCAGACCCTGCAGAGGGGCAGGTTGGCAGAGTGAAGCTTCGCAAGATTGTCAACGGGACCTGCTGGGAGGTAGTTCAAGAGCCTCCCATCAAAAACTCTCAAGGTAGCCCTCAGATCCCAGAGCCTGAAGACTCAAGAGAGCCTCCAGGGACTCAGCCGTCCTCAGGTAACGAGCAGGAAGTGACATCTGCTAGAATAGACCTGTGTGAGGACTCCCCCATGCACTCTAGGCTACAAGACATTCTGCTCTCTGCTAGCCACTCCCCAGACAACCCAGTGGTGAAGTCCGAGTTTGGGTCCAGTCCAGAGTTGATAGGGAGGGAACCGGGATTGGATATTGACTGCAGAGAGCCCTATGCAGTTGACACAGGCCCGCTCGGGCAGCCATGCGAGGCTGAGGAGTACCGAATCACCAGTGCTGCTGCCACCAGTGAGCTGGAGGAAATCCTGGACTTCATGCTCTGTGGCTCAGACATCGAGCCACCCATAGGGTCTCTGGAGAGTCCCCGGGCTGAGGGCTGCAGGACCCCTAGTTATCACCTGACAGAAACAGGAAAGAACTGGATTGAAGGGGAAGAATGGTGTTTGCCAGACGTGGAGCTCTGGCCCAGGGAAATCACAGGATTGGAAAAGGAACCTGCTGGTGGGAACAAAGGGCCAATTGAGCCTTTTAGCCCCCTTGTCATGCCCTCTGAGGTGAGTGAAGGGGAGGTGCTTTCAGTGGGAGGCTCTTGGACTCCAGACCTAGAAATTCCCAGCTCCCAGCCACTGGACGGCCAGAGAGACAAACTTCTCCACATCAACTCCCTTGACCCTCCCCTAAGGTCCTATGGGGACCTCTCACCTCCCTGTTCAAACTGGGTAGAGACTGGGCTGGAAGTGTCCCTAAGTACGGCTGGAGTATTATACCCTGCTCCAGAGGCAAGCAAGCAGGGATCTGGCAGCTCTGAGTTGTTGGATCCACTTCCTGTTAGCCCTGAAGAGGAAGAGATTGATGTGGTGGACTCGATGTCAGAGGGGATTGTGCCCATGAGTATTTACTCCGTATGGCCCGACCCTTCCTCAGAGTCAGAAACAGAGGTGGACATACTAACATAGTGGAGTGGGGAGGGCAGGTTAGAGGGACTGGGAGGGTGGGAAATGTTTAACGGAAGGTACACGGGCGGGCTAGCACATGCTCTGTCCTCTTAGCACAAGAGGCAGATATACCCCCAGCTCTCCTTCCTTCCCCAGGCTTTTGGAGGCAGGCAGAAATCGTTCCATGAGTAGAAAATTATGAACTTGAACCATCTTACCTCTTTATAATCTATTTTGCAGTTAGTGACAAACAAGTGAAACAATAAACTGTGTGTCACAACTCTAGTGGGTCACAGGTAACAGCCAAAGCCAGGTCTCCCAGGTCTCGAGGCATCTAAAAACTGATTCAGGAAGAGCTGAGAAAGACCAGCCCTCTGTGGTAGGGGTTCTGTGGGAGAGAAAATGTTCCCGAAGGAGGTGTGAAGCAATGCTGGGATGGAACACTAAGTGGGTGGGAGTGACAGGATATTGTCTAGTACCTAATGTCCGTGGCTTAGTCACTGCCAGTATGGTTAGTCTAGCCAGAACCTCCATAGGGGCCAGGAAGATGTACTCCTATCATCACTTCGGAGAAGTGAGTTGAAACAGATACAGCTGCTTTTTAAAAAAGAAATTATTTAGTTTTTCCCCATAGTTTTTACAAGTATTTCACATGCTCTAACAGGGACCATAGGAGTTCCAGGTTAATTGGTGACCTTAGGTTATGAAAAACACAAGGGGGACCAATCCCATAAGGCTGGCTTAGGGTGTCCCTTACCATAAGATTAAGTTTTACTTCATTACTCATAGATTATATCAAACTCAAATACTTTAATTTTTATTAAACCAATCCAAGAACTTTTCAGTGCCTTACTAGAGGATTGCCTCACAACTGAACCACCATTTCTGGAGGAGAAGAAACCACAGCTTCAGGCACATGACTGAAGTTTGGCCATGTCCCGTCATAAATGCTCCAACACCACCAGGGGCAGAGGCTGTGAAAATGAGAGTGGGAAAAAAGTTAGAGAAGGGCTCCAGGCAATCATATAGCCAGCCCTCCTCCCTTGAACCCACACATCCAGGAGAGCTCAAGGACTGCATCCTCCCCCCACATCTCACTCAAGGTATCAAGTGCCTGACAACATGCCAAAGCACTCTATGAAGCACTAGGGATAAAGACAAGGTCAAATCCTGTGACCAGGAGTGAGAAGACTACAATGCAGGGTTATTACATGGGGTGGTAACAGAAACAACACACCAGTGACAAGAAAGACAAGAGGGCAGGGGTAGGCAGACCTGAAGTTACACAAAGGTTTGCTCAGGAAAGGGGAGAATCAATCCTTACCAATAAATAAGGGAATCCCCAATAAATAAGTGGGATTTACAGGAAAATGCGTTTTTTTAAACAAATATATAAAACTGGCCTACACCCCAAGGGCAACAATTAACTGCATCCTCTAAGGACACAATGTGCATTTTTATAATCATTTACATTACCATCGGTATTCCACGACTTAGCCCAAAGACAATGAAATGAAACATGGAGTTAGCAAAGGGCACACTGGATAGAGATCATTTTTTGCGGACTTCAGGTCTTCCCACCAGCAAGGGGAAGAGGTATTCCCACTAGAGGAAATCCTGAGAGCAGAAAAGAGTTACGAAAATGTAGGTCCAGTGTGAAATAAGGGGTTTAACAGTAAGTGCTGCTCCACCCAGAGCCACACCAAGATCAGTCCACTCTCCATTTCCCATGTCAAACCTCAGCGTGAGGACTTCTGCCCAAGCCTCCCTACGAAAGGTACTTCTTTAGCTCCTTCACCACCTCTTGAGGCTCAGGGAACTTGAGTTTGCGTGGGGGCCCCTTCTTAATCCCAGTCCAGAGCTCCGCACCTGGGAAAAGTCCACGTGAAGCGAAATTACTTTGGAACCCACCAGCAAGTCCCCGAAATCATCAGGTGGCGGCGGTTTGAGACCCGCGCTTCCTCGCCTCGGATCCATGCCCCCCAACGCCCCGCCCCGGGCCCTCACTCACTGCTGCCGTCGGGTCGCAGCAGTGTCACCTCGAAGCTGCCCCTCCGGGGCTTGGTAGGGTTCACCTTCACTGGAAGCTCCGGGGCCTCCAGGCGCAGCGCCTGGCTCAGGGCCGCGGCGTTGCGCCCGTAGACGCGTCAGCTCATGCTAAGGAGAGATGGGGGAGGTCAGAGACTGGGAACCTTGGTCTGCGGCGCCCTTGCTCGCCCCCCATTACTCCCCAGACCCCCTCACCAATGCTCAATAACGACGCTCGCCTCCTCCACTCCCTTTTGGCTGCTAGCCGGCTTCTCCCGCTTCTCGGCCGCTGCGGCCAGCGCCGCCTCGGCCTTCCGCTTCCTCCCGCGGGAAGCCATGGCGCCTGGAGCCCGGCTGGGAACCGAGCCGACCTGGGGCGGGAATAGGGTGGAGACGCGGCCACCGAGGAGAGGCCAGCCAAGCTCCAAGATGCAAACCGCAACCCACTCGGCTCTCCAAACAAAACCTCTCTTAAACTGCAGAAAGCGTGGCGCTGGGCGCCCACGTGGCCTGGGGGCGGGGCCTTCGGGCAGAGCCACTCTGCACGCAGAGACGGGGGAGGTAGGCTCCAGGCCGAACCACCAGTGTTTGGGGGGTGGGCGGGCAGCTCTGACAACGAGCCTGGCTTCACACAGGGTTTTCTGTAACCGCGCGACCAGCTAAATGGTATGCATCACGATCCCTACCCAAAACCTCCTTCTGGGGACCCGCGGACCAATCCCAAACCAAGACAACTTAACTCTACGGTTAGGGAATCAACCTTCTCCAGCTCTTTGCAATCCTGGGGACTGATGTACAGCATCTGGTGAAACGGATCAGGATGCCCTTTGAAATTAAGGTGGACAACTCCTCTGCAGTTGCCTGGCTTTTCTAATACTTGAATAACACACAAAGGCGCAATCAAAAGTAAATCCCAGTGTCTTTATTATGGAAAACCATCAACTGGGTGTGGGGAGGACATAGGAGGGTAAGTGAGACCTTGCCCAGGGGCTTTCTCCTCCAGGGCCCACCACACAAAGGAAGTCTGAAACTTCTATTCCCCTTCCTCCCAATCTCCATAAAATAGGGAGATTATTCAATACTATCTTCAATGAGAAAACTCTGTGCTTAAAGGTTTCTCCTTGGGACCAGTGACAGGCTTATACTTTTTAAATATAGGCCACAGACCAAGCCAAATGGGCTCACAGAAGCAAGAGTCTTGAGGGAAAAATCTTAGCACTAAACTCTGCATCTTGGCCTGTTATGTTAGGATTTAATCTAATCTAAGCAGGCTGTGAATATCCACTATGAGGAATAATGAAACCAGCGTGTGATGGAGATGTGTGGGCAGCACACAGCAGCTGACACACTGGCCCAAGCTTGGAAGGAAAGCATTTCCCCCTCCACCATATAAGATCTTTCCCTTCTTCCAGTGAAATAGCAGACCACAGCAGTAGAGGCCTTCCCGGAGGATACCTGTCATTTCCCTGGACGCCTCTTAAAAATCAGAAGCAATATCCTGCCCCTCCTAGGCAGAGCCAAACAGGGAAAACAAAAAAAAAAGGCCAAGGCCTCAGGCAACGCTTGTGGCTACAGAAAGGGCAGGGCCTCAGAGGTGCCTGGGATTGACAGGAGATGAAGTACTGAAGGCAGGGATCCTATTTGTCCTTCTTGCTCTCCTCATCTGGCACTGCAGTGGGCACTGGGGCCACAGGGTGCTCCTCGGGGATATTATCTCCAGCCTTTGATAGCTTCTTAGCCCGTTGATACAGCTCATTCAAGTTGAATTCTCGGATCACATTCTCCTGTGCAAAAGAGGTGCACACATCAGGGTTCAGGTTGGAAGGGGGTGTTATGTCTGGGAAGCAAGTACAGTTGACCCTTAAACAAAGGTGTGGGGTTAGGGGCGCCAACCCTTCTTACAGTAAAAAATCCACCTATAACTTATAGTCAGCCTTCCGTATCCACAGTTCCTCTGAATCCGTGGTTCCACACGTGTGGCGGCTTCAACCAACCTCATGGATCGTGTAGTGCTGTAGTTACTTTTTAAAAAATTAATTAATTAATTAATTAATTAATTAATTTTGGCTGCGTTGGGTCTTTGTTGCTGCGCGTGGGCTTTCTCTGGTTGTGGCGAGCGGAGGCTACTCTTCATTGCGATGCGCGGGCTTCTCGTTGGGGTGGCTTCTCTTGCTGCAGAGCATGGGCTCTAGGCACGCAGGCTTCAGCAGTTGCAGCACGTGGGCTCAGTAGTTGTGGCTCACGGGCTCTAGAGTGCAGGCTCAGTAGTTGTGGCACATGGGCTTAGTTGCTCCACGGCATGTGGGATCTTCCCGGACCAGGGCTCGAACCCGTGTCCCCTGCATTGGCAGGCGGATTCTTAACCAATGAGCCACCAGGGAAGCCCTGTAGTTACTATTGAAAAATGTCCACATAAGCGGACCCACACAGTTCTAACCCATTTGTTCAAGGGTCAACTGTATTTAGACACAGTCTAGGAAAGGAGGAAGCAAAGGACAGGAATCTACTCTAACCCAGCTGTCTTTTTTTGGATACCTGGAAAAGTCAACTAATATTTACGTATTATGTGCCGGTCACTGTGCCAAGAATTATGGTTACGTTATTTAATGTAACCTGCAAAACAAAACCTGTGAGCCAAGTGCTACCATCTCCAATGTACTGCCAAGGAAAAAGACTACAGGTACTACAAGAGCCATTGAGACTAAATCTTAACAAGTAATTGTTGCCCAGTACTAGCATGTCTGGCACATGGTAGCAACAGTATAAATCTGCTAAATGAATTCATGAATGAGGTCTAATAACTAGTCTACACTCTCAAAGCTTATGGACAAGTAGCAGAACTAGGAATTAAACCCAGGTTAGGCTCTAAAACTTACCTACTGTTCCACACCCTCCTCCAAAACTTGCCCACTCTTTCATATACCTCAGAGAAAGTCCAAGAGACAGCTCGTCCTTTTTTGTCAATCTGTGGCCGCCGCATGACCTCCTTTCCACCTTGGAATAGGATCAGGGTAGGGAGCTGCTTGGTGAGGGGTGATATGCTCACTTTGTACCTACAGGGCCCAGAAGGTGCTCTGTTAATGCATCTGTGTATATCACTCTGAATGATCCCCTGCCCAGGCCCTTACATACCGTGTACTAACATCAGTGTAGCGTCCAACGTCCACCTTCCCAAAATTTAGCCCTGTACAGTTGTACCTGAGAAGAATGTATTATTTAACATATGGTGAAAGAAGAGAGAATGAATCAATGAAGTACAAGTACAGATATCTGGGGTGGGGGTGGGAGTGCCTTTGGTTGCAATATGTAAAAATCGAGGCCAAAAACAATGAGAGGGAAGGTGTAATTTCTGTCATCCCTCCCTGTGTCCTACTCACTTGAGGGAGAGATCAGCGTAGATAGGAGCAAATGACTGGCAGTCATTAGACCAATTGGCAAAGAACTCCACGATCCAAGTAACCCTCTTGTCCTGCTCCAGCTCTTCCTGTCACACACAGAGAACAAACAGTGAACCGGATTACAGAGGCTCCTGGAAAGATTCCGACTTTAGCACCTAATTCCTCATCCTGGCTTCCCTATACCTCTCCTCTAGATCCCACAGTGAACGAGTGCCCTTGACTTCCATTCTGCAGCACTGTTGCTCCTCCTAGTGAGCAGAGAGGACAACTACAAAATCACCCACAGGGGACCCAGGAAACAGAGGGAGAAAGAGTACTCACGTCAATGGTTTTATCACTGAAGTACTTGATGTACTCAGGGCCCATGTACAATGGGGGTTTGCATGTCATCAGGAACACTAAACACAGAAAACAGTCGTCACAGGAAACATATAAGGCCTTGGGCAGGGGATTTACTTTCAAAGCAACTCAAAGATTTCAAGCACCAAAGAGTGCATTTTGTGGACATACAGACACATTCCCTTCCTCTTAAAATCTCTGTAGATTCTTATCATCTGAGGCTCACACATAATTAATTAGGTATAAGATATGGCAGAAGGTTATGGAGAACCTGGTTTGGGGATGGAATTTGGTTCCCACGACCAAGTCTTGCAGTCTCCTTACCTATGCAGAGTGTGAGATAAAGCAGGCCCACGCGAGTATCCAGGCGGAAGAAAAGAATCGCATTGGCCACTTTACTAAACATGAAGATGTTGCCGATATGTTGCTCCACAGTGACTGAAACACAGAGACGCCACAGGTCAGGCTGGGCTGCACGCTCCTATGACCTGTTATTTGCCCCTCTTCCTGGAGTACTTTGAAATGGGAGAGGGGGAAGAGGATAAAAGTCCAAGATCAGGCCTCCCTGGTGGCGCAGTGGTTGAGAGTCCACCTGCCGATGCAGGGGACATGGGTTCGTGCCCCGGTCCGGGAAGATCCCATGTGCCGTGGAGCGGCTGGGCCCATGAGCCATGGCCGCTGAGCCTGCGCGTCCGGAGCCTGTGCTCCGCAATGGGAGAGGCCACAACAGTAAGAGGCCCGCGTACCACACACAAAAAAAAGTCCAAGATCAAATTCAGCCTTAGCACAGAATGAGGGACAAGTTCACCAAATAACGCCCCTCTCATAACATGGATGAAAAGCACCTCAGAGGTCACTAGTCCTAATCTTGAGAGACAGAGAAGCAGGCTACACTTACTGGATCTGCGGTTCTTCATCATTACAATGGCACTGAGGAACATCAGGATCTCTACTTCTCTCTGGAACAGAATCAGAGTGACAGGAATG